GCTGACATGACTTCCGGGACTGCCTCAGGCTTCCACCGCCATGCCTTCCCTGCCGTGATGGGCTATAACCTCTCAAACCATGAACCTTCCTTCCTTATGGAGGAGCATAGCAATGAGAAAAGTAAGCAAATAAGCACCAGGACCATTGCAACCTATATTACCATGAATTTTCTTCTCTGCTTTCTTGGCTTTTAAAAAATGTTTACATTTATTAATTATACCACATGTATGTGTGCAGGGTGTTTGTGTGCACACGTGCGTGTGTGTGTGCTTTATGTATGAGTGTGGGCCTATATGTACTCTGTGCACATGTGGATATTGTAGATAATTTCGGGAGTCATTGTTTTCCTTTCACCATGAATTCTATGAATCCAGCTCAGGTCATTGGGTCTGCACAGCAAATACTCTTAACCATGGAGCCATCCTGCAGGTTCTGCTTCTAGTTCTGTAACAAACATGATATATACTTTATCTCTATACTTTATATTCATTTTGCAAAGTCAGAAGAAACAATTCTCAACCCCACTTTTGTAGATGAGACCATGAAGACCCAGTGCTGCCAAGGGGGTTGTCAAAGGCTTTGCCAACTGTCACCTGTTCCCTTTGACTCCCTCTGCCTTAATGTCTGGGCATGCAGACAGTTCTCCAGTGTGACTCCGAGGTCTAGTTGTATTTATAAGATGCTGGTACATCCCCCAAACAAATGATTTTTGGTAAACAATCAGATCAGTCAGATTGTATGCTCCATCCTAGTTTTATAACGGTGGTTATTACTGTTATAATTGTGCCGTTTTTCTATTTGCCCTCAAGGCGTTAAATAAATCTCACTCATTGTTAGACAACTAAGAAGTTTGTAGTTATATTCTTTTATTTATATTCACACATATGTGTGTGTGTATGTGTGTGTGTGTATGCATGCAGATGCCGTGGTATACATATATAGGCCAGGGAAAAGCTTGCTGGAGTCTGTTCAGCTCTTCTACCAGGTGGGTCCTATAGGTCATCAGGCATGGCAGGAAGCACCTTTACCACCTGAGCTATCTCACTCACCCTGGGTTCATTTTCAGCCATTGTAACAAATTACCTTAAATGCTGTGGTTTAAGAATGAGAAGTTATTCTCTTGCCGTCCTGGAGGTTAGAAATCCAGGCTACGTTAGGGTGTCAGCAAGGCGTGTCCCTTCTGTACGGGCCCAAAGGAGGACGTTTGCTTTCCCTCCAGTCGTTGCTGACATCCCTTTGTCTGATGACCCATCACTTCATGCCCTCCCTCTACTGTCACGTTTTCCTCTCCTTTTCTATTCTGCCTTCCCTTTCTTTGCTTTTTCTTTTGTGGGTGTGTCTGTACCTGTTCGTATGTGCCTACTGTGTGCTTTGCATGTAGAGGCAGAGGACAGCCTTGGTCCTCAGGCCAGGGTCTCTTGTTGGCTGGAACTCCCTGATTAGGCAAGTCTTTCTGCTTAGTGACCCCCTGGGAGCCTGTCCCTGCCTCTGCATTATGGGGATTGCAGGCGCATGCTGCTGTACCAGGCTTTTCATACATTATAGGGTTCTTGTTTTTCTGTGGCAAACATTTTTCCAACTGTGCCATCTTTCCAGCCCCTGTGGCTACATTTTCTTCTCCCGCTCGGATCCCAAAGTTTGCTTCACGTAAGAATTCTGTGATTACATGGGACTTACACAGATAATCCAAGATAATTTCCCTGTCCAGAGATCCTTAACTAAATCACGTCCAAAAATATCATTTTGCCATAAAAGATGCTATACTTACACCTTCTAGGTACTAGGGTGTAAATTCGTCGTGGAGTTCAGGAAGGGCATTATCCTTTCTGCCCTACTCTTCATTCAACTAGTTAATAAGTGATTAATACATGCAGTGAACTGTGTTGGGCTCTGGGGAAATTGCTGGAAATGGCAGAGCTAGACTCTGCTGTCACGGAACTTACACCCTAATGGGAGACAGCCATTAAATAATGATATTATGATTACTTAATACACTCTTAGTGAGTGGTAGGAAAGGGGAATGAGCAGACTGGAGACACATCCCACAGGACCTGGCTGTACTTGAAGCTTTAGAAATAAACTTTCTAGGAGAAGACTTCCTATTTGAACTCTGCCGTGGATAACTCATCATGAGAAGGGTCAACAGAAGCACTAAAACTTCAAAGTTCAAAAGATCTTTTAGAACTATTCAAATTTACCAAGGTCATTAGCTTTCTTGAGCTAAGAAGGAAACTCAGATTCTTCAAGGCAGTTGGAGACCTCAAGAACAAGAAACATTTCATTATATTGTCATTTTGTTCTTCACATGGAAACAGCAATAACACCCCCTCCCAAATATGTACACAATGACTACGGAAACTATATTTTGATTTCTCAGATTTAGGTGGGAAATTACTTTCACCATTAAGATTTATAAATTTGATGACCTCCTCTTCTGACCTTCGATTCCTGAGTGTTCCTTGTTTTCGCACTGCTTTGTGTTGCAATCAGTATTTAGAATTTTTTTTTCAGAATTGTAACCTTGGTGCTACAGCTACATTTGGGTGTAGAATACACCCCAAAGGGCACCATGTCGAAGACATGTTATATAATGAGTGGTTTAGGTGATTGTGGACATCCCCTTGAGCGGGTGGTTGCAGGACAGCCTTTGACAGCCCCACCATCATGCAGCTTTACTGTCCTATGTGCTCTAGCCATGATGCTCTGACACAAATCTAGAGCAGCAAGGTCAATTGGTCATAGTCTGAAATCTCCAAAACCATGAGCCAAAATGAGAAATATCTTTAAAAATATCTTGAGCATCATATAAAGACTTTCTTCCTGGATTCTTCTGATCCCTTCCATGTACCCTTCCACTCAGGGGTAACTTTTCTGTATCTTTGTTTTTCGTCCAAGATTCTTGACATTTCCTTGTGTTTAACAGCTCCCAAATAAGGAAATCTAAATAGATATCTTGTCCAAGATTCCAAATCTAGATATTAAAAAGAAGTCCATCTTGGCTTCTCTGGCAAGATCATGGAGATGCTTGGAGGAAAGACTGTGGAGTGAGTCAAGTCCAACCATGTTTTCGGCTCAGTTTCACTAGCAATTTTGTACCTCAAATATTTATGGAGCAATTGGATTTGGTGGCCTTTAGTATTTCTATATAAACTTATTGCTTAATGACCATAAAAGACTTATGTGGCAGCAAATATATAAGAAATAAAGGGATTCTAGTTTTAAATGTTTCCTTTTTAATAATGAAAACAGGTGAATCTTTACCCCTAAATTTTGGTTCTTTGACTTTTTTATCTTTCTATGAAGGAACGTATTTGTGGTCCTTAGTCATTTCTTTCCTTACTGATTTTTTAAGAGGGCTTTGGATTATAGAAAATAATTCTTTGTGCAGTATATTATTAAATACTTTTCTTATACCAAGAAGTATAGACTTCTTTGTCTACACACACACACACATACACACAGACACACACACAGACACACACAGACACACACAGACACACACACACACATCATGTCCAGCACATCCTACATGCACACAGACTCACATCATGTCCAGCATTTAGTTCTAAGATATAATTGAAGAATCCATGTTTTGTCACTAATTTCCATTTCTAAGTGACATTTATTCTCTGTTTCATTGTTTCAAAAACTCTTGGATATGTAAACAGGAAGTTTTAAGGTTTTATCAATTAAAACACACAGCAAACAACTTTCTTAACCTTTTCCTCATATGCAAAATTAGGACACTGGAAACTATGGAAGATTTTTGAGGCTATGTGTGAGCCAAGGTTGGATGGTCTGTATTGACCCCTAATGTGCACCTTTCATGCAGCAGCAGCTTTGGAAAGATGCATTGTATAAATAAGATATGACTGTCTGTGTTTTGAAACCTGTCAGCTTTTTCCAATATGCTTTTGATTAGTTTATTTCTGGACTCAGTACACAAAAGTCTAGCAATCGTTCAGGCATAGCCATGGGTTTAAGCAATTAATTTTAATTGAATTTGACCAACTTTAACTCTTCTAGAACATTAGGTACCACATTAAGGTGAGGGGTTGTAAATTGTTTTTTCTTTTCCTTCAGAAAGAACAATGGACTTTCTAATATTTTGCTAACAGTAGTGAGCTGCTACCACGCACAAAGAAAACTCTCTTGACGGCAGCTTGGATGCTCACACACTTAGCTTCTTCCTTACTTAATAGTGTTGATTTTCAGCACTTAGATGCATAAGGAAATTCTGCTCAGACACTATGCACCGTTAAGGCAGGACAAATACAAGCCAGAGAATTTACTAAACACCAAACAAGACGGAGAAAATAATTCATCTAGTTTGGGGTTGGAGCTGCTATGGTTTAGAATCGTGTGTGAGAGAAGTCATGTGGGTTCTGGCGAGACGTTGATGAGAGACGTGATTATGTTTCCTTGACACGGGAATTCCTTTAAGTTGAGAACATTTAATTCATTTTTTTCTCAGTATTTATCACAAAATGGTAAGCCCTAATTACAGTGGTGAAGGGACACACGCAAACTCAAGACACTTAGGTCTTAGAAAACAGGCACGAATTAAAGAAAGATAGACATACACAGAAAAAAAAATGAATCCTAGAAGTGGATAGTAGCTTTCTGACTAAAACAACTGCTAGTTACTACAAGAGCATTTTGATTGTGAACAGGCAAGCGAGTATATGGCAATCTTCTTGCCAATTTTATTTTAGTTTTGATTTGTGGATTCTTCAGTCACCATTTATTGAATACCTATTTGATTCCAGGAGTTATGTGCCCTCAGATGGTTCTCATTCAAGTGCAGGGCTCCTCGTGCACTGACTGTCACAATAGGGAAATGACTGGGATAGACATTCCCAAGATGTAACTGTGACCTGGGTCAGAAAGGCTTACCAGAAAGGGAAGAATAGATTTTCATTGTTCACTGTGAATCATCTGGAACTTAGCAGCAGGAAGACCCAACTCTAAAAATGGAATGAGATATTTCCCTGGCTATATTGGCTCTATGAAAATGAGGATGTGTGCTGGGAATGCAGACACCAACGAGTTTGGTCAAAGAGTAGAGAGCATCACAAAGGCTTGACTGTTCATATTTTGCAGGTAAGTCTGGGTTCAGATTGAAGTCGATTTATTTAATATATATATATATACCTTTAGGGCATCTTTAGTGTACCTTCTCTGTGCCAGGCAGTGGAGGCAGATAGGCAGATAAGGCCGGTGTAGCCCCAGCCTTACCATCTCATAGTCCAGCGTTCAAAGAAAGACTAGAAAGAGTTTGACAAACTCATCAAGAGCAAGTGGAAATCAAGGAATAGTTTGGGAAAAGGATGATGAGGGTGAATGCAGATTTCATTTTGGATATCTGGAATCTTAGCAGAAAACAAGGAAAAGGCCATTGCAGAAGGGGCAATGCTCTCAGGTCATCGACAACTTTCAAGCCTGGGCTTCAGTACCAAAACTCTCATCTAGGGTGCAAAGGATCGCTGCTCAGCAGACGAGGTGATGTGTGTCTGTGTGTGTTTGTGTGCATGTGAGTGTGTGTGTGTGTGTGTAGGGTTGGGAGGACTTCTACTCCCCTTTGAAGATACCTGGTTTCCTGTGAGAGAACCTAGCAGGCTGTTCTACTTTCTCAAGAAGAGCTCAGGCTTTCTCTGCAGACTCCTATCCCTCCCTGAACTCTCTGTTGAAAGAACTGTCTGTTCCCCCACTGTTTATTTACTAGCCTCCCCTGCCCCCGCCCCCTGCACCCCGTGCTCCCCCACTGCCATTTGCATCTCTATTACCTGCCACATTTGTTGGAATACTGATCTACATAATTCCTCCTACATCAATAATTTTTGGCTGAAATAAAGAAAAAGAACTATTCTTTAGATGCTAAGAGACTTTAGGAGAAGTCTGTTTATGAAATAGGAATATCTGTCCTGCATGCTGATAATAGTAAAAAGAGATAACAGGGCAGGTACCTGATAATGTACCCAGATCAGCATCCTGGTAATGCAGTGAGCTCCCAAGAAATGCTCCTTGAAGATGCCTGAGTGGGTGAACGGCTGTGTAGACTCATTAGCATGGGGGACATTGGCACACTTGTGTAAGCTTTCTGAAAATTAAGCCCTTCAGTGTATTTCCTTGTCACTGAAGCTAGAGCTGTCTCTGGCTCTGAGCAGCCACCGCTCTGAATATGCTCCAGTTTGTGCTAAACACAGGGAGGCTGGGTTCACCTCCTACTCACCACTTTCAGACTCAACTTATAGTAAAAACTATAATTTTGGCCCTGTAAAACTTGATTTGAATGGGAGAGATTAGTAGGAATTCAAGCATACACACATGTGCACACACGAAAGATGGACAGAAACATAGCATGGAGTTTTGTGTGCCGTTGTGCACATGTGCACATTGTGCACATTGGTCCTCGGCACTCTGCTGAGAAGGATTAGAAGCAACAAGACCCTAGGAGTCAAGGACATTTTCAAGTGTCCAGATCGTGGCTTCTAAATATCATTGTCCAACAATAAAACCAGAGTCTCTTGATATAAATGGCTTATTCCATGGTTGTGGTAGGAAAAAAAAATACATGGCAAGCTATGCCTGGCTGAGAAACCCAGAGGGAAAGAAAGAGCCTATAAAAAGGAGAAGGCATGTAATGGGATACGGGGGCTCCAAAGAGTTCCAGATGATGGTGAGACTAGAAAAGCTAAGCCACAAAACAGGCAATCCAGAGTTAGACTATAACATAGCTTGTCAAATACAAATACACCAGCCCACACTTAAAAATAAACAACTTTCTCAATATCTTTGAGGAGGATATACTTCTTTGCAGAAGAATCCCAATCAATGTAAGCAAAACCTTTATTCCACAAGACTGGGCTTGGTCCTCCCTGGTCACCTTGAGTATAGGCCAAGCTGACTTCTAAATAATAAAATAAGAAGAACAGGGAAATAATGACCATATAGTAGGTGAACCTGGCCACAACACCTATCTAAGTGATTCAGGTTGATCTTATAGATGGTCATAAGGCATAATGCACCCCTTATGACCTAAGGAGTCTAAAGAAGGACATTTCCTATTTGCTATTATATATATATATATATATATATATATATAATAACCCTGTCTACCAAAAGAAAAATATTAAACATACATTTTTTTTGAGTGAGCTGCATGTTACAGATGTCAAGGCTATGAAAAGCAAGGAAAGACTAAGAAGTTGTCACTGACCAACGGACACTACGGAGACGTGAAGAGTCTTAGTCACCGTTCTATTGCAGTGCAGAGACACCATGGTCAAGTCAAGCCTTATAAAAGAAAGCATTTCAATCACTCAAACAATTTCAATGACTTAGTCTATTATCATCATGATGGGGCACATGCTTGCACTAAGGTCTAGGACAGTAGCTGAGAACCACATCCTTGTCTACAGGCCAAGGGAAAGAGTGACATTGAACCGGCTTGAGCTTTTGGAAGCTCAAAGCCAACCCCCAGTGAAACACTCCCTCCAATAAGGTCACACCTGCTTCCACAAGGCCACAAAGCTTAGTCCTTCTAATCCGTTGAAATAGTGCCTCTACCTGGTGACTAAGTATTCAAATATATGAGCCTATGGTGGATCATTCTTATTCAAACCACCATAGAACTAAATGGAATGTGTACGAAGAGCAGATGCTAGGATAGGATGCTAGCGATAAAACTAATGATACCTTTAATTAAGCCTGGAGTTCAGTTAAGAGTCATGCAAATAAAATAGTTTAATGCCACTTCCTTTAGCTCTGACTAAATGATGCTATGCCTATACTAGGGATCCTAAACTCAGGTGAGGGGTTTATCTTCTGTGTTGTTCTAGTAAGTTTTCTGTAAATTTGATATTGTTACTGGAAATTTTGGGAAGACCCACCTGGGATGCCATACATTACCAAGAAAACTGAAGATTTTTTTTTATCTTGTTAATCAAAGAATTTGAGAACTGATTTAGAAAGAAGCTTTGGAACAATTTTGTTAGAATTTAAAAGGAAAAGCTTAGGGCAGACGAACTGTAAGTCTCAGTGGCTGCCTGGACGAGGGAGATGGAGACCAGGAGAGATAAAGCCCTGCCATTTGAGTTAGCCATGGGGGATGCATAAGCAAACAGGAAGTCTGAAATGAAGCCGAAGGGAACTTCAGAGGAAAAGGGAGGAAGCCCACAGTGTCTGGAAAAGCACGCCTACACTTTGGCAAGTATCCAAATGAAGGAAAAAGAAACAAAAATATTAAATTTCTGAGTAATTCAGAAAATTGGCAGACTTAACCCAGCCCTGGCTGCAGCTCTGTAAGGGGCTGAATGAGATGTGGAGTTTCTGGGAAGGAAATGCTTATTATCTCCTTGAAGGGACAATTATTCCTCCCATCTCGCCTTAGCACGACTTACTGCCAATCAACCTTCCTGTGAATATTCTCTTAACCAGGTGCTTGACCAGCTTAGCTGGGTTAATGCTGATGTTTTTGGGTAGCTTGACCTGTTAGAGCTCTATCCAGACCAGAAAAAATAACTTCCTTATTGGGCCTCCAGAGAGCTCGAATCCTGGCTACTGTAACAAAATTGCTGAAAAGTACAAAGTTCATTAAGAGAAGAAGAGCTTGGGAAAGAGTAGATATTAACATCTGAAAGTGTGGCGTGAGCTCACAGGCTAAGGGGCGGCATTGTGAGCAGAAGGGCAACATCACCTGCACAGGATAGAAGCCACTGATGAATATCAGAAAGACTTCTACTTTTGACCTTGAGGTTTTAGCCCCAGCTCTGTGCAAACTAAGAACCTGAATCAGAAGAGATGACAGATTTTTTTTTCACATAAAATAAAGCCCTAAAACAACGTGTTTATTTTCCAGCCACACAAGAAATTGTCACATGTCACTTCCATTCACTTAAAGTGCAGACCAACTTCTTCCCAGAACCATGCACGTCAGCTTCCTGTGAACCTGATCTCAGAATGCCCTGTGCACCACACATGCATTCTCTCGGTGTCAGAGGGCTTCTGGCTACCATGGAACTGGACTCACCATAGAAGCTTCTTTGAAGTCTGCCTGTTCCCTAAGACAGTGCTCTTCCTCCTAGCAGGTTTCTGGATGCCTGAGAGAACGAGAAGGACCTGGCTCCACAGAGGTGTACACTATCTGAACATGCTTTTCTTTCCATGTGTGTGGGAGGGGCACCAGTCTTGCATGTCTGGTATAAGGAAGATGTCTGTAGCACAGTTATAATTGAGAGTGGTCTGCTGCAGGCTACAGAGTCTGCTGGGAATTTCAGGACTGGGGGCCCAAAGGGTGAAGCTGGGGAAGGGAGAGCTACAGTTGAATTTTAATCTGTAAGCTGTGGTGTAAGGCAATGTGTACAATGAGGCTTTGTGCACATAAACATATACACCAGCTCCAGTCATTCTTCTGTCTTGTACGCAAAGAGAAGGGTGACGAAAAGCACCCCTTCCCCAAAGACTATTTGTGTGCACTCTTTGCAATGCAGACTTGCACATTTCTCTTCTCCCTTTTCTCGCTTCCCCGTCCCTCATTTATACCCATACTATTCCCCATATGCTTACATCCTAATAAAGAAATTCATGTAACCTTACTATCTTAGCATATAAAATGTAGACAACAATATCACCGCCATAATATTAACTGAATTAATATGTATGAAGCACTTTGGTCAGTCATTATCACATTGTAAGTTATGGAAGTTGGTCTATGATGATGGTTGAGAGGATAATTAGCATCTCATGGGGGAGAGTTGGGAATTGTTTTATAGAGAAGGTGGAAGTTGAGACGAGCTTGCAATGCATACATACCATTCAGCATCCTTAGTTTCATCACTCAAGACTCTCAGCGCACTTATATGAGCTACAGTGGGCAGCGTTGTCTAACACAGAGCCAGTTTATAATTCAGGGCTGGGTGTTTGGTGTTCATAGTGACATATGAAAACACCGTAGCCCCAAATGTTAGCAACAAGGTATAGTAGTATGTAGGTGGTTCCTTCATAGCTGATCGGGAGGTATAGTCATGGAAAAGATGAAAATCCAAGATCCAGAATTCAATTTCTGCTGACTGCATATTGGTTTTCTACCAATAATGAAATAGAAAATTTAGAGTTCTAATCGTTGTAAGCCGAGGATCTTCTGTTCTGAGTAATTCCACCAACATGAAATTCAAGAGTAAAATTTTATATGAAAGAACTGATTCGTGGTGGCATCTCAGAGTAGTGGCTATTTTGAGGCATTCACAGGTTTGTCATAGGTAAACCTAGGGGGCTAGAGATGTATTTGCATTTCCATATGAGTGACTTGAACTCCATGGGAATAAAAAAATGGTCTTGTATGCTTAAAATATATATATTCTAAATATAATTTTGAATAACAAAAATAAAAATGAACAAACTGTTGTTCCTTTTGGAAACTACAGCTCCCAGATTCCTCCTGGATTACGCAGGCGCGCGCAGGTGCAGGACATTTCTCCCAGACACCCTTGCATTCCCCGTTAAAAAGCGAGCTCCCACAAGCTTTCGCTCTCTCTCCCCTCACCCTCTCGTGTTTTGTACACCTGTCCCTTATTGCGCTACCCCTCCCCCATTAAAGCGCACCCACGTCTGTGTCTCCTCCTTTCGTGCATGTTTTGTGTGTCCTGTGTTTGTCTCTACTCACACACACCCGCTTTAAAAGAATAATACAAACAAATAAACAACAAAACTCCCAAACAACAACAAGCTGACACACATGATCAGAAGCTTAAGAAATGACTGTGGTGTAATCTAGTTTTAAAATGAAGTGAATATTTAATGCTACTTCTTCCTGGTGATAGGATTCTAGCTGGGTGTTTTGGAAACACTCAAAGCAGCCTCAAAAACCCACTGGGTGGTGGGGACACCAGCCACATCTCTGAGGGGAGAGTCACGGATGCCAATCCTTTTTATTTTGCAGCTCATTCCTGGAGTAGTGACTGGAAGCGATTTACTACCCTCTCTAGTGTTCCACTTCCTCCATGGGAGAAAGAGTTCCTGGTGAAGCCCATGCCTTATGATTGCATGGACAACTAGATAAAATGAAGTCTAACCTCTTCCCCCAGAATCTGGAAGAGGGACTCAGGACACACCACTTACTGCTGTTAAGGAAAGCTCAAGGCAGAGAGCCCTGAATCTGGAGAAACCACCTCACCTTTCTGGATTGTGTGCAGAGATAGAGACTGGTAATGGGCGTTTAGGGGAGAGGGAGAAGGTCTGGAGCAGTCTGGGGATAGTGAAGAAAGTTGCTGAGGCCACTTCAGAGAGAGGGGCTCAGGCTACCTAGCAGTCCAGGATGTCCCTGAGAGGAAGCTGAACACCTCCGGATGAAATCCTCTCTGCTCCCTCCCAGCCAAAGAACGCTGTTGAAATGTTCCCAAGTTGGCATCCGAAAAGGGAGGTGAGTGCTGGCATGTGAAAACCCACAGTTCAAATGCCAGCACCGCAAGGGAGAGGGAGGTCAAAGCAGGGAGATAAAAAAAAAGTGAAATCTGGTGTGTAGGTTACCTGCAGAGTTTGCTTAAATCAGGAAGGCTGTTTACCATTGGATAAAGCTGAGCACTGGGTGGCCAGCTGTGGATATGATGCAAATATAGCATGATGCTTGTGGCTGTTACTAAAACCCAAACCATCTGCTGGCATGATTTAAATCAGGAATGTCCCCAAAGCCTTGTCGGTTGAAAGCTTTGTCCCCAAGGAAAAGTTCAGAAATGAAGCTTTGGGGAAGTGACTGAGCCATGGGACTGTGACCTCATCAACGAGTCCACCTATTGATGAGCTCATAATGCTACTGCTGAATGATGAACATCCACGAGGCAGGCTCTAGTTGAAGGAAGTAGGTCTTCAGAGGAGTAAACCTCCCTCCTGGCCCCCGCTCTCTGCTTCTCTGTCACCCTAAGAGCTGCTTTGCGCCCTCCCCCACACGACTGCATCTTGGCGTCTTGCCCTATCAAAAGTCCATTGACAGAGCCAAGTGGTCATGGTTTGAAACCTTTGAACATGAGCCCAGGTGAACCTTTCCTAATTCTAAATTCCTCCTCTTTTGTCATGATGATGATAGGTGGACTAACATGTTTGTCTTCCTACACAGGGATACAGTTCCTTCCGATATCAGGTAGTAATTACGATGAGACATTATCCACATGTTATTTGACCACTGGAATTCTTTTCACTTAAAATTAACTTTTCTATAAATCAGTGGAATCTACAGCTTCTTGGGAGGAATTAGAGAGATTTCATTGACAGTCAATTACTGAAGAAGCATGAAATACGTCCCCCGTGCACTTGTCTCCCTTTTTCCTCTCAAGAAGACAGGTTTGTGATATTTAATATCGTGTATGTGTGCATTTCCCCATCTCTCTTCCTCTCCCCCTCCCAATCTCTCCTTCTCTCGCTCCCTTCCCTTCTCCATGTGTGTGTGTGTGTGTGTGTTAGCGATGGGGTGAGTGGAGGTCAACCTTACGTTTCTCCCCTCAGATGCAGTCCGCATTGTTTATTTTGAGACAGGGTCTCTGTGTGGACAGATTTTATGTCACGATGATAGAAAGTAGGAGCTTACTGAAAGAAAGAATCTTAATTGAGAAAAATATCTCTATAGGGCTGGCCTGCTGGCAGATTGATGGCATTATCTTGACTGATGTCCAGACCACTGTTGGCGGTACCACCCTGGGCAGATGGGGAGAAAGCCAGGAAGCAGCATTCCTCCACTGCATCTGCTTCAGTTCTTGCCTCTAGGCTCCTGCCTTGAGTTTCTACTGTGAATTTTCATGATGTTGTACTGCAAACTTTACGATAAAATAAATCCACTTCTTCCCAAGTTTCTTTCGTTCTTTGTCATAGCAAGAGAAACCACAACAATTTCTCACTGGCCTGGAAGTCACTGACGAGGCTAGCTGAGCAGCAAGCTCCAGGAGCAAGGATAACAAATCTGGACCATCAGGCCTAGCTTTATACATGGGTCCTGGGGGTCGAAACTCAGGTCCTCATTCTTGTGTGCCAAGTGCTTTACCAACTGAGCCATCTCCCCCACCCCTGATGTTTAATATTTTTAGGCATAAAATTAATATACATTGGTTAAGTCACAAAGTACTATAGGTGAATTCATTCAAACATAAATAAAATATTTTAAAACCCAAACCTGTTATTAATGCATAGAATCATAATTCAAAGGAAAGGGGTAAAGAATTATTTGAATAGGAAGCTCATGAAAATCAATACTGTGAGCCTTAGTTTAATACTGTACTCTGATCTACAATGTGTGGATAGAATTATGTCACCATTTATAGCCTTGTCTGACCACAATCCAACTAAAAGTTGCCTAAAATGATATAAGAGATTCTTAAAAACCATCTCAAATAATCACAATACTGACAATAATATAATTAGATATTATTTTAACCATATTTTAATGTATTATAGGTGTATGTGCATTGTAGGTATTGTGCTGATCATTGTATATATATTTTCTTGCTTTACTTAGAAAGCTTTGGGAGGGTGGTATTTTATTATACTCATCTTATATGTAAGTTAAATTCAAATGAGAAAGACCAATTAAACAGGTTTTCTTGGGATATGGAATTTTTGGTGCTGATCCCTGGAATGTTCCAGACATTCTGAGATGAGTTGGTTGTCCTGAAAGAGTATCTCATTTGGTTTTTGAGGGATAAGATAGATTTAAATCCCTGATTTCTCTATTTATTTGATTCTCTTATCTACTATCAATCCAGTTCAAGATTATTGTTAATAGAAGAATCTAGACATTCTTTGCATGGGAGGAAGAATCAAAAATGAAGCAAGATGAAATAATTTTATGCTAAGTAATTGAAGATATCATCTGATAAACACTTTCAGCAAAGTAGTAGGATACAAAATTATTATATAAATATTAGTAGCCTTCATACATAGCAAGAACATGCATACTGAAAAAGAAACCAGTAAAAACCAATTCCATTCTTAACAACCATAAAATAAAAATAAAGTATCTGGGAATAAACCTAGCCAAGGAGATTATAGACCTTTACAATGAAAACTTTAAGACACCAAAGAAAGAAATGGAAGAAGATACGAGAAGATGCTAAGACGTTCCCCCTTCCCACTATAGTCATGGATTGAAGAATCAATATTATGAAAATAGCTTTCCAAAGAAAGGAAATATACAGATTCCATAATATCTCAATCAAGATCCCAGGGAAATTCTTCACAGACAATCATAAGTTTTATATGGAAACATAGAAGACCAAGGATACCTAAAGCAATCCTGAACAAGAGAACACTGTGGTGGGCATCACCACATCTCATTTCAAATTATACTACAGAGTCCTAGTAATAAGAACAGCATTACATTGGCACAAAAATAAACATATAGATCAGAAATATGTCTACAGAACAATAGCTAAATGATTTTTGATACATAATCTAAAAATATACACTGGAGAAGGCAGCATCTTTACCAAATGATTCTGAGAAAACTGGACATCAACATTTGGAAGAATAAAACTTGGTTCCTATATATCATCCCGAGAAAACCCTAACTCCATATGAATCAAATTCTTCAGTGTAAGATTTGATACCCTGAAATGGCTAGAGGAAAGAGTAGAAGATGAGCTTCAATATGTATGTACAGGTAAAAATTTTCTGAATAGATCTCTGGTAGCATAGTAAAAGCAAGCTTGCCAGATGGGGTCTCATGAAACCAAAAAGTTTCTGCATAACAAAGGGCGCTGTTAGTGAAGATGCAGCTCAAAGAAGAAATTATTTGTCACTTATACCTTTAATAGAGGATTAGTAACCAGAATATACTGGAGGAAAAAAAAAACTCTAAGAAAGAAAGTCCAATTTCAAAAGAATATGAAACTAAAGCGTTCTCGAAAGAAATTACAAACCTTGGGAAACATTCTAAAAAGTGTTCACTATCCCTTGCCACCAGAGAACTGTAGGTTAAAACTAAAATTCCATCTCATCCCAATCATAATGAAAGGCCGTCACCAAGGATACAAGTGGCAACAAATGTTGGCATGGATGCGAAGAAAAGGGAACCCTGATACACTGCTGGTGAGACTGTAAACAGGTGCATCCACTTTGGATATCACTCTAAAGGTTCCTCAGAACACCAGAACTAGATCTACCATGTGACTCAGTCATAACTCTCTTGGACATCTACTCGAAGGACTGTATACCCTACCACAGAGACACCTGCACATCCACGTTCATTGCACCTCCATTCACAATAGCTAGGGAAGAGAATCATTCTAGATATCCATCAGCTGAAGAATGGAGAGTGGGAACGTGGTACATACATGCACAGAATCTTATTCAGCTATAATGAAAATTATATTATAAAATTTACAGGAAAAGTTATACTGAGTGAAGGTAACCCAGCTCACAAAGATAAATACAGCATGATTTCCTTGATAATGCAGATTCCAGCATTGACTCTATAGTTTCCACTGAGCAAATGAAGCTGGGTCTCCCTTTATAACATTTCCACAGGGCCTAAAGCCTACTGGAAAGTGACATTCAGAGCAGAACCCACTCACCTGGGGAAGGGGGTAGAGATGACACTGTGATTGGGCAGCATCCTGCTTGCAAAATTCCAGAGCATGGCACACCACATCAGCATTCATAGCTTCACCGAGTCTGGTGGGAAATGGAGCAAAGCAAAAGCTATTAAGATCTCTCAGGCATCAAGGAGCAGAAGCACTATCAAAGGAAGTTAAATCCCCAGAATGGATTCTGATGCCCTCACAACCCGGCCTTAGAGCTTCACCCAGCTCAGCTACTGCATTGTGTTTTCCAGCAATACTCATCCCTCCTGCCTCTTGCATAAGGTCCTGAGGACAGGGAGGAACACAATCCCTGAGCTATGGGTTTGCCTCTCAGAAGAACACGTGAGAAGCCACGAAAACAATCAGGAAAGGAACAAAGAAAAGATATGATTAGATGGGAATAGTATGTTGAAATTTATTGGATTTAATAGAAAAACTACTTTGCTATATAAACATTTATACCCTTAAAATTATTTTCTTAGATACAATCCAAATCGTATATGTTTTTCTTATGGAAGAAAAATATTACTCTGACTTGCTTCTTTTATGGAGAAATCTATAAGAACAGGAGTCTTCAAATACTGTGGCTGTGACTAGATTCAAAGGAGCTAAAACAACATGTGATGGCTCATCTTCTTTGTCAAGTTTAATATACTTAAAATGATCTAGGAGAAGCATCCTTCATAAGGGCATCACAGAGAGGTTGAACCTCAGTGGTACTGGCTGATGGGCTAGTGGTCCAGACTTAATGAGAGAAGAGAAAGGAGGGAGCTTTCTGAGCACTAACTCTCTCTCTCTCTCTCTCTCTCTCTCTCTCTCTCTCTCTCTCTCTCTCTCTCAGCTTTCTGAACACTGAAACCACCGCCTCCTTTATTAACTGACAATGCAGGTGACCTTGACTTATGTTTTCACCAAAGCAATCAACTTCCCTCAAATCATGAGCCCAACAATCACTTTCCTTTTTAGTTTCTTTTTGCCAGGTATTTGGTCAGAGCAGAGAAAGGCTAATACTGACAATTGTTACTGAGGGTTCATTACTGTGACTTCCTGATTGTACGGTGCATAGGCCTTCTGAACTCGTTTACAGCAGGAATGGAGAAGAGATTAGAGCTGGAAACAGAGAATAATGAGTAATTCTTACAAGAGGTCATGAGCCAATACTGTACATAGAAAGTATTCTATTTATATGGTTTATACAGAGGAATAAATAAGAACTACCTGAACCTAGGTTAAAGGTCATTTTTAGTATATTATGCCAACTAATCTGGCTTTATTTTGTTCATCCCCTAAAACTCTGAGTGAGGCTGAATTCAAAAGTCATGAAATACATTGTTTGTTGAAGGAGATGCCATTATTCTATTTAGACTGTGACATGGTTATTGCTGTCTGCATTTAGTGAGGTTTAGAGTTCAAAGCAGAATGCTATGAAAAATACTCGGATTGGCAAACATGCAAAAATTTGTGGTTGGCGACAAGGTGGTTGTGAGCAAAGCCTCTTTAGTTCTTAGCTTAGCACTCTTGAAAATAAGCTGTGAGTTTCGTAGTGACAACAGGAGAGGAATCAGAATCCCGTATATTAAAAGCTCCAGGGCATAGCAGGTGCAAATTCATTGAAAAGGAAGGCGTCTGAAAATATATAGACTTCAGGTACATGATGGAAAGAAAGGCAAGCCAGGGAAGTATTTCTTTAGGTCCAGCCATCGACTTCGGGGCTGCTGCATCTGTGGTGCAGGGGAGCTGGCTGCATTTTAAATTGGCCGCCAAACTTGGCACTCTTCACATGCACAACGTAAGAGCTAGTCGGCTGACACCTTGGTCTTGTGCTTCGAGCCTTCAGATCTCTGAGTGGTAAGCTTCTGTTGTTTCCAAAATTTCCAGTGTCAGGTAGTTTGTTACAAAAGTTCAGACAGATCAGACACTGATGGTGAGTTTAAAGGGAATGTCTTATTTCTCAAGTTCTCTGTCTTTACAGAATCCTATGGCTACGGCTGTGCGTAGGAAATATAATTGCTACATAATTAGTTCATGAATTATTGAGAACTGACTAGTATGAGATAAAAGGAGAAATGGCCTCCAGGTCAGGAAATCCATTTCATATCGGAAGGCAGCTATTCAAGTAAAATTAAATCAAGAGGTTGTCATTTTAAGGGCAAGGCAACTTCAAGCTGCTTCTGACTGCTTAAAACAAGCTGCAAGAGGAGGATGCATGTAAGGAGAGATTCCCCAGCAGCATGGAGCTGATGATGGG